TCCTGCTGAGAGCTTACTGTGGTGTCTGACTCAAAAAGCATTGGCTAAACATGTTTTTCTTCTGGAGTTATTGAACCTACTGATTTATCATTGGGATTGATTCCAGGGAATTCAGGAGAGTTAGAAATATATGGAATTAGAAAATATGCAAATTGCTATTTTGAGAGGTTCGAAAGGGGGAGGGAACTTATTAGCCATGCGGTAGGCACGTTTCATGTTATTTTTTATTCAGTCTCCATTACCTCTACCAGATAGGTAATGCCCTCATTTTATAGAAAAGGCTAAAATCTGAAAGCAGAGTAGAATAGTGGAACAGGTTGGATTTTGATTCTGAGACCTAGATTTAAATCTTGTTCTACTTAGGCAAATTGTTTTCCTTCTTAGTTTTTATTTGTTCCTTTGTTAAGTAGAGGTTTCAGTACCAACCTTGCAGGATTAATGAGGGGAGAGAAAATGCTAAACTCAGGAAGGGAGATCTGTTCAAGGGAGGCTGGCCCAAGACACAAAAGCACACAGGCTCTTCAGGCCATCTATTGGCCTGCCTGAAACCTTCCTTACCCTAGCACATGGGGTACCTCTAAGGGCACCTTAGGTTAGGTTGCTTGCAGGGAAGGTGCTGTCCACACACTCGTCAGGCCAGCGGCTAACCCGGCGGTTCCCCGCAGCCTGTGCGATTGGTCTCTAGTCCGCCCACTTGGGCCCTAGTCAGGTGTCCACTCATAAATAAAGGATCAACATCCGGGCAACTCCTAACTGACAGCAACCACCAAACGCAGAAAAAGCCCCGGGTTCCCAGCAACCGCCGGCGCCGACGGCCACGCCTGATTGGAGGGCAGCATGAACTGCAGAGAGCGATTGGCGCGCGGTGTCACAAAGGGGCGGGGCGCGGCCGCGGAGCGTTGCTCGCCAGTGCCGGCTGCAGCGTCCCTCGCGGGGCCGCGCCTCTATGTAGGCCTGCGGGCGGGCGAGTGAGCGAGCGGACCAGACAGCCTGTGAGGGCGAGCAGGCCAGATGGGGAGGGCGCCCGGGACTGCGGGCCGCTAAGCGGGGCCACGTTGCCATCGCGGGCCAGAGAGGAGCGCAGGCCTCTGGGCGCCGGGCAACCGGACCGCGCCCCCTCCGCCGCCTCTTGCTGCGCTTGCTGTTGTTGCTCCGAGACCGCCGTGGCGGGCGGTCTTCGCCGAAGACTCAGCCTCCACTTTTAGCCCCCGCCCCGCGAGCGCGACGCGGGGCGTCCAGACTCGGCAGACGGGAGCTGCTCTCTGAGTCGCGAATTCTGACTTGGACCCTGATTGCTGTCCTCCAGATCAGGCCCCTGTGTATGCGGAGCTGGAATTTCTCTTGGAGGAGCACGGGCTGCGCAGGTGACTCAGTGGTCTTCGGGTGTCTGTACATTGACGTTGGCTTTGAAGGATTTTCTAGTCCCGCTAGAAAATTCATTCCAGGCTAGAGTTTAGGATACATTTGCATGGTGTGATATAATTTCTGTAGCTTGTATTTAAAACTTAGAGGTATTTTCACACATTAGTAAAAGCAGCCTATTAATAGTCACTATTTTTAATGGCTACATATCTTTCTGGATCTCTTTATGTTAGGGGAAAAGTTTAAAAGATAACTGCTCTTATGTGGCTGTTATTCTTTAGAACGGAGAATAATAAACTGATCCCAAGTTACAGAAATTACGAATTTAGCCTTATTATCACCTGCCTTTAATTTCTCTTTCATCTTTGGCGGTTGTTTTTTAGAACTCTTTCAGAAGAAATGAAAGAAGTGTTTTGGGAATTGATTTAGAAATATTTTTTGACGCCGTGACTCTTAATAGCTAAGTATGTTTTTAAAATTTCTGGTAAAAATTTTGAAAGTACTTTTTTTCCTGTCTTCCTTTCCTTTTCCTCTTCTGTTTTTTTATCTGTTCTTGTTCTTGCATCCATTTCCCATCCTGTCTTTGAAACTTCATTGTTCCTCTCTTTCCAACATCATAATATGCTCAGTCAAGCATGACCACACAACACTTAGAAACTGTCTATAGACCCTGCTTTTAATACTGGCTAGATATTTGGCCTTCTGAGCTTGTTTGCTCCTCTGCCATCATTTAGTCTTCCAGTCAAGTTTAACAAGATTTAATGGCCTCATTTCATTGTAATTTCTACAGCTAGGGAGAAGTATATTTTCTTGAGGCATACATTTCGGTTTTGAATTTGGTTACCAACCTTACTGCTTCTTGGATATTGGCAATTACTCCACTGATTAGGCTAAACGTGTGGTGGGTGTTCCAGCCGGACAACTAAGTGCTGTACTAGGTTGCTGTTTTTCTTTCAGCCAATAGTTACTTTACCCATTATTGTTATAGATGAAGGACTTCCAAATCTGTCTTTCTGTAAGCTTCCATCCCCAACTCGTTTATTCAGGGTATTGCTGTGGAAGAGTATTGTGATGTGCTCCTTATATCTTCTGTCTCTAAATTCTTTGGTCAGGCATTGGTCTCCTATGTCTTTATTTCTGTAACGTATTTCAACATTCCTGATCCCTGACTTCTGTTGCTAGAGCTGCTGCTATGTAGGTAGGAGCACTGTTGGCTTTGGGGGAACAGATCTGATAATTCTGTAATCATTCTTATTTGCTATAACATGATAAGCATGTTCTTAAGAATCCACATGTTATCAAAAATTATATTGTAAAAGCAGTTGTTTCAGTGAGAGGGAAAAAGGGATCAGGGGTTAGCTTCATACAAAGTCGTTTATCCTCCAGGCATTTCAATGTATTAAAGATACAAAGAACAAAACCTGAGCCATACAGCCATTTATTTGGCTTTTGTTTAAAAGCAATGGCCTTTTACTACTATTACCAGCAGTTTATTAGCACAGTTCTTTGTGTTATTATATTTGTTACTCTATTTTGATAAACAGTATGATAGCACTCGAAGTAGCTGTGCTGCCTGCAACAACTTTTCTGTGATGCCATCTTTCTAGGACCATTAGCAGTTTGCACAATACAATTTAGGTTCCTTGATTAATTATACTTCTGATTGTATTATAAAAATCCACACTATAGCAGAAATGTCTGTATGTGCATGTGTATAATGAGTTGGGTTAACTTCGGTGGACTTAGTTTGGAGTGAATCGTAACATGATACCAATGGGAAACCAAATATTCCTCTAGACAAACTTTTGGAGCATAATCAAATCTTCCTTCATCTCTAAAACAGGGATGATACTTTATTTACATCACAGGTTTGTTCTAAGAATCAATTGAGAAACTAAATATTTATGTACTCTTTTATTGAACAAACCTTCAGTGAGCACCAGTATGTACAAAACACTGTGCTAGGTGATAGGATGGTAAATCAGTTGTGGTCTTTCCCTTAAGTAGCTTACAGCTTAGGTCCTCAACCCCTGGACCGTGGACCAGTACCAGTTTGTTCCGCGGGCAAGCGAGGGAAACTTCATCTGTATTTGCAGCTGCTCCCCAGCGCTAGCATCACTGCCTCAGCTCTACCTCAGATCATAAGGCATTAGATTTTCATAGGAGCACCGATCCCTGGTTAGGGACTGCTTGCTTACAAATTAGTCGAGTAAGAAATCCATGTAAAAAATGAAATTGATTATATAATGGGTTCAATATGTGATGGAGATAAAAGTTCAAAGCAAAGTAACCATAAAAGGCTTTGTGGAATAGTTGCTAATGAGCTGAATGTTGAAAGATGATTAAGTGCTTAAGTGCTTGTCAGGTAGCCAGGTGTGGTGCTGGCAATGAGTAGAGCAAAGCACGAGGAACAATATAGAGGCTGATGATGTATTCCAAAATTGCAGGTGCAAATGTTTAGAGAACAGAGGTACCAGTGGTGTTGCAGGGTGGGATGAGGTACATGTATAAATAAAATGGGGCTGGAAGGTGAGATGCATGATCGTAGGACCCTTTCTAAGGAGTTTGAATTGTATTCTATAGATAGTGAGAAGCCACTGTAGGGCCTTGAGTTAAGAAATAGCATGATTGGTTATATATTTTAAAAAGATAGTTGTACTCCACAACATAAGTCATCAGGGAAGTACAAATCAAGTGAAATACCACTACACACCTATTGGCATGCCCCAAATCCTGAACGCTGATATCATCAAATGCTGGCAACGGTGTGGTGCAATAGAACTCCTATTCATTGCTGGTGGGAATGCAAAATGGTACAGCCACTTTGGAAAACACTGTGGCAGTTATTACAAAACTAAACATACTCTAACCACAAGATCCAGCAGTTGTGCTCATTGGTATATTTACCCAAATACACACACACACACACACACACAAAGGTACAATTAAGAAATGGGCAAAGGACCTGAACAGACATTTTACCAAAGAGGATATACAGAAGGCCAATAGACATATGAAAAAATGCTCAACATCACTAATCATCAGGGAAAAGCAAATTAAAACCATAAGATCACCTCACAGCTGTCAGAATGGCTATCATCCATAAAGCAGTAAGTAACCAATGTTGGAGAGGATGTAGAGAAAAGAGAGACTTTGTACATTGTGGGTAGGATTGTAAATTAGTACAGCTCCTATGAAAACAGTATGGAAATTCTTCAAAAAATTAAAAGTAGAGCTGTTATATGATTTAGCAATTCCACTTCTGGGTATTTATCCAAAGAATACAAAAGTACTAATTCAAAAAGATATATGCACCCCTATGTTCACTGCAGCATTACTAGTAATAACCAAGATAATGGAAGCAACCTAGATGTCCATCAGTAGATGTCCAATAAAGAAAATGTGACTGACAGATACACACAGGAATATTATTCAGTGATAAAAATGAATGAAATGTTGCTATTTGCAGCAACATGGATAGACCTAGAGGGTACTGTACTGAGTGGAGTAAGTCAGACAGAGACAGACAAATGCCACATGATTTCACTTACATGTGAAATCTAAAGAACAGAATAAATGAATAGACAAAACAAAAAAACTCATAGATACAGAGAACATTTTGATGGTTGCCAGAGGGTAGGGGGCAGGGAGGTGGGTGAAAAAGGAGAAGCAATTAAGAAGTACAAATTAGTAGCTACAAAATAGTCATGAGATTGTAAAGTATAGCATAGTCAATCATGTAATTATTGGGTACTAGATTTATCAGGGTGATCACTTCATAAGTTATGTAAATAACTCGTACACCTAAAAGTAATATTGTATTATATTTAATGCCAACCGTAATTGAAAAACATTATTTAAAAAAATCCAAAAAAATCTAGCAATATATATAAAGTCTTATATACCATATACAAATGGTTTGTTCAATGTACAAAAATCAGTTAATGTAATACAATATATTAATAGTATAAGAGACAAAATCCACATGATTATCTCAATAGACTAGGAGAAAGAAAAGCATTTGATAAATTCCAGCACTGTTTGTGATTCAAAAAACAAACACCTAAACAAAGTAGGAATATCAGGTTGTCTTCAACCTGATAAAAATTATGAAAACCCCACAGCTAAAATTATACCTTATGATGAGAGGTTTAATGCTTTCCAACAACAGTCAGGAATAAAACAAAAGTGTCTGTTTTCACTACTTCTATTCAACCTTATATTGGAGATTCTAGGCAGGGCAGTTAGGTAAGAAAAGGAAATAGTGAGCCTCCGGATTGGAAAAGAAGAAGTAGCAATATCTATTCGCAGATCATATGATCTTGAATATAGAAAATTCCAAGGAGTCCACAAATAATCTTCTAGAACAATAAATATGTTCAAGATTGTAGTATACAAGATCGATATATTAAAATCAATTGTATTTCTATACAGTAGCAGTGGTCGATATGAAAAATTATGGCAATAATTTCATTTGAATGACATCAAAAAATAAAATTCATAGGAATACATTTTTTTAAATGCAAAATTTGTACTACTTTAAAAACATAAAACATTTTTGAAAGCCTTTAAAGAAGTTATAAATAAACTGAAAGACAACACATGTTTATGGGTTAGAAGACTTAATATTGTCAATTAGAAGATTCAACACAATCCTTATCAAAACCCCAACTGGTATCTTTGCAAAATAGACAAGTTGATCCAAAATTTCTATGGAAATTCAAAGGACCCAGAATAGCCAACAATCTTGAAAGAAAAAATTAGAGGACTCACACTTCCTGATTTCAAAACTTACTACGAAGCTAAAAAGACAGCAGAACTGGTATAAGTATAGAACTATATATAGTTCAATGGTTAGACTTGAGGGACCAGAAGTTAACTCTCGTATTTATGGCCAGTTGGTTTTCAACTAGGGTGCCAAGACAATTCTGTAGAGATAGAATAGTTTTTCCAAAAAATGGTGCTGGGACAGCTAGTTATTTACTTGCAAAAGAATAAAGCT